CACTGACGCACTTGTGGTTCTTATTCCACTTTGATGCATGTGGGAAAAAAGGGGTGATGGCTCCAAGGCCAAAATACGAGGATCTGTGCAGGTCTTTGAAAGCCGCGGGAAAGAAGGACAAGTGCCGGAAGAAATCGAGGGCCGAAAAGAAGCAGTCGAAAGAGCATTGCAGAAGCGGCGCCGGCCCCTCTACGAAAACGGAGCACAAGCGCACCCGCAAATCCGGATCGAAAGTTACAGTCCCTTCGAGTGCACGGGAGATTTCAACGCTGAAAGAACGTAACGAGTCGCCCCCCTCGACCCCCGTCCGGGGAAAGCGCGGAAGCGGCGCCGAGAACCGTCCGCCAAGGGTCCCGGAAAAAAGATCGCGGGATGATAGAAGCGCGACTACGCACCGCAGAACAAAGAAGAGAATATCCTACAAAGACGACAGAACAATGGAGACAATCGATATTAGAGGGTCTGACGACAGGCACAGTGGACCCCAAGTGGAAGAAGAGGAGGAACACGACCGTTCTGCGCCAGAGAAGTCAGATGGTGCGGAGGACGAGGAGCCAGGAAACGAGGGAGACGACAACGATTCTTCCCRCAGACAATCGCAAGACACCGATGAGGACGACGACAGCGACGGCAAGTCGGCCAGCGAGAGAACCGGCGAAGACCAGAGCGCCGCTTCGGAAAGAGGTGGTTCGTCATTTCCTTCGAGGACGCTGCGCAGAGAAGGAGAATGGCAGGCACGCAATGGCAGCGACACTGAGGAGCGTGTCGGTGACAGACAAATCGTACAGCACGTCAGCGCCGCCGGAAAAGGTAAAAAACCCCTCGTCGCACTGACTCCCCTCCCACTCCGATCACATAATCCCGTGCCCCCACGCGGTGCACGCCTTTACGCACGGAGAAGTGTCATTGTAAACGCACAGCTGATAGTCGAATCTTCAATTTTGCAAGTGCTGTATTCAAAACAAGGCGCTGAGTTGTTAACACTCTCCTGTGCGTTGTGTCTTCTGTTTCCCACCGATCGCAACGTCACGAACGAAAGTGCTTGCAAGCGGCGGAGCCGTGCAAGGACCGAAGGACGAGGGCGCCGCATTCGCGAAGAAAATGAAGGGCAAACTGTTGCGTTCCGTTGCCAAAGCCTTTGCGTTCTCTGCGGCAAACGACGCAACTCTGTACCCGACAGAGGACGCGTTTTTCGCGGCGGTGCAAGCGACGGCGAAACTGGCAGGGGAGACAGCAGAGGAAGGGCTGCGGTCTCACATAGCAGAATGCGGGATTCGAGCTGTCATAGGGGAATTCCGCTCGTCGGATCGCAGCAAATGGACCACCACCTCCTCGCTCGCAACAAGATGCGCACCGAGATGAAGGAGAACAAGACGTGGAGACGGAGCGGCGACGATCCGTGGGGCGCCCCCGCCTTCAGACGACACTCTTAAAAGTTTTTCAGATGAGGAAGGAAGGCTGGAACCTGGGCGTCACCATGCAGCAACTGGCTTTTGCGGAGATGGTCATTCAATGTGAGATAGAACAGACAACGAAGACGACACGAGCTGCGTAGCAGATAGAAAAATTGGTATCTATAAAGCAGGCAATCGTCTCATCTCTCCGTAGCCGAGACACAGTAATGAGTTTTTCCGTCTTCAAACTGGACCGTTCCGTATCCGTGGCCTAGAAGGCAGCAGCGCTCTTTCGCTCTGGCACGCCGTCTGTCCACAGGCCTGGGCCTCCAAGCACCACAATAACGGATGACGATTACGACATCGAGTTCATTCTCCCTCAGAGTACAGCAGCCGGAGACGGGGACAGGCGCACCGACAGTCTGTGCGCCGCACCCTGAACAACGAGGGACAGTTTGGCGACTTTTCGACATGGAAGGGAGGATACGGGGCAATGACCAAACGGTGGAACGAAAGGTTCTTTTTGTAGACGTTTCGAACCAGGAGATGCAAAATCGAAGGCCACAATCGGTGCAGGAGAGAGAAAGAGAAAGAGAGAGAGAGAGAGAGAGAGAGAGAGAGAGAGAGAGAGAGAGAAAGATATGAAGACCTTCAATTTTGCAGAAGAGAGAGAGAGAGAGCGAGTGCTTGCACGCACGTGCACCGCCTGAGGATTGCGAGCCGTATGCTCCATACAGTCTGATAACTACACAACTTCTGTTATTTTTGATACACAATTGTACAAACATTTGTAATGCTCATCTTTGTGCGATTGAGTGGTGTGTGCGGCTGACTCTGTAATGGTAACATGACACGACAATGTGTTTTGTCAAGCTGTGGTGAAACTTGTTTGTTGCAGGGCAGGGTGACGTGGACTTAGGCTCCCCACGCCAAATCGCCTTATATAGAATGGAACACAACAATCTTAGGGGCATTGAAAAGGAAGGTTGGCTACTGCGTGCCAAAATGTGACGGACCCTACCGTGTTGGACAATTTGCGGCCCGCAGTAGTCAACCTTGTTTGTACGAGGGCAGCCCAGCATTTAATCGATGGTCTCCCACGTCTGCTCCGTACACGTGAGAGAATAAGTCCAAAAATTTTGTTAACCTGTGGTGAAAAGTGTTTGTTGCAGGGCAGGGTGACGTGGACTTCGGCTCCCCACGCACAACAATCTTAGGGGCACAGAAAAGGAAGGTTGGCTACTGCGTGCCAAATTGTGTTGGACACCGCCGTGTTGGACAATTTTCGGCCCGCAGTAGTCAACCTTGTTTGTACGAGGGCAGCCCAACATTTAATCGAAATGTCTTCGTCGGACACCGAAAGTCAACCTTGTTTGTACGAGGCCCAAAATGTGTTCTTCGGCAGCCTACAACATCTCTTTCTCTCTCTCTCTCTCTCTCTCTCTCTCTCTCTCTCTCTCTTTCTCTGATCATCAGTCTCTGATCCCTCAATTCCATCAGTCACTGCAATCATCACGTGCCCGGTCGACGCGCGCAAACCCAACGCTCGCCCATGTGATCTTCGTACTCCAAAACGTGCTCAGTTCTTAAACGAGGAAAACACAGCTACAACCCACCCCCGGACAACGCAAATGACCCGTAACCGAAACTGCTATTGTGCACGGTCCAATACCCTGTTTCAACACGGTCCAACACATTTCAACACATTCCAACACACTTTCAACACGTTTCAACACATTTCAACAAGGTTTCAACAACATTTCAACAACTYTTCAACAAGATTTCAACAAGCTACCAACAATGGATCAACAGTTGGACCAACTGTCTATCAACAGTTGATCCAACAGTTGAACACACAAGTTTCAGTGTCCCCAATATACGGTCAGTGTTGGTTTCCTTCAGTTTGTGTTGAACACATGCCCCCCCCCCAGCCAACGGTTTATAAACAGTTGAAATGTGGTGTCAACATAGGTTCAACGTGGCAAAAAAATTGCCACATTTTTTTTGTTGCAGACACAGAAGAGGTTGCCTGAGATGGCGAAACCTGCAATGCCTAAAGGCAAGCCCCTCACTCCCCCCGAAGGTAATGACACAAAAAGCCACCGAAACTTATTCCAAACTTCTAACTCAATCCCCCCTCTTGCTTCTATGACCACTCCGGTCCTTCTATACTTAGCCAGGCGGGGTGGGGTTTCCATTTCAAGGCCATATGCCCTCTACCTCTTATTCATTTTTTCTTACAATGTGATAGTTTCTCTCTCCCGACTGTCTTCGTATCAATCCCCTTCCAAGGGGTTTATGAAGGTTTCAACCGCAGCAACTGCGGGACTTACCATACCTATGATCTCAAATCCTGCCAAACCACCACTTCTACACTCATTATTCAGACAACCAATTACTTATCAGATTTTCCACCCTATTCCTCAATCTCCCCCCTACACCACCTAAACTATTTAGAATCCCCACCGTACATCTATTTCTTCTTGCTGACACACTCCTATAGTATTTGCACTAACCGTTCTTCAACACTTGCTAGCCTCCTCACCGTGGTCCCTCCAAGCGGCCAATCGCACCCTCCAAACTCCGCTGTCTGCCCCCTCACTGTGATCCCTCCGAGAGGCCAATCGCAACATCAGGGATCCATTTCCAGGACCCCGGCTGATCGTGGATCTGCACCAATTTGGAATATGGCGCCCAGATTTGCTTAAGGAGGGGCCATGCCGTGGCCGATTTCCTTTTGACGTCCGCATCAATGGTCGTTCAAAGATTAACAAGAGTCATTGCACGCAACGCCGCGAAGGTAGGAGGGCGCTGTTGAAAGAGAAGCTGCGTTCTGAGTTTCCTGACCACTCCCAAAAAGGCCGCCTTGATGATCTCGATGGCATACGCCCGTTGACCTCGAAGCGGGGGGTCCATAAAGGCCGGGCCGACCGATAAGCAGTCGGCCCAATCATCTGGTCGCATCTCGTCGATGTCGCCGCCCACCTCTTGTCTCCAACACTTCCAGAATTTTTGTTGCGGGGTGCAACCGCTCCATACATGCGGGATATCCTCGCATTCTGCAGCACAGTGTAGGCACCTCCCGTCTGAGAAAGATGAACGCTTCGCAATCCACTGGTTTGTTGGGAGCGCCAGATGTATGTTCAACCATAAAAGTCCTGCATGCTTCTGATTGGGAAGCGTCTGGAGGCGGCTGGCCATAGACTTCCATGCGGCAGGGGACCATTTTGCAGTTAGGGCCCCCGTGATCCATTCCTTTCTAGCCCATCGATGTCGGAGTTCCTGGTCCATCCGATAGGGAGTAGACAGCGATGTATAGATAGCTTTCATGGAGACTTGATGCAACGGGAGGGCGTGGCGTTGAAGGCCTTGCTTCCTCCAGGTCCACATTGCAGGGTCGACCTCCAGCTGCGATGGACGCTTGTCTAGGCAGAAGACGTGGTGGGCGCCCCGACCCAGAGCTTTCCTATCCGTGACCACTGTGATAGGTCTGACGAGGTCCCTGGGCACCCACCCGTCTCTGGTCGGGCCGCGGACCAAGGGATGTCCGAGTGCAGTGTCAGAGGGAGGATTCTCCCAGGCTTCGGCCACCACTCAGTTCTCCCCGACGTGCACCGTGATCTGAAATACCAGGTGCACCGGGTCTTCAGATCTCATCGTCACCCATTCCCTATCGAACCTCTGGATCATCTTGGGAGCCTCCACCCATTTCTCCGGAATCGCCCGCTTACTGCACTGCAGCCGGTCCTTTTTATGCGTCTGGCCATCCAACTGCTTGAGCAGAGCCGCCTCCTGCTGCCAATCATTAGCCTGTCGGTCCTAGAGGTCTGCTATTCTTGCGACTCCGGCTTTAAGCCAAGCTTTACCAAAAGTGCCTCTGGGGCTTGCCCATGGAAACTGTTCGCCGTTGCTATCCCGTATCAACGGATTGCCAAACAATGGCTGCTGGAGAATGTGCTCTGTTGACTCCGGTGGTTTGAGGGCGAGTGGTGCCAGCTCTCGCCATGCCTTCAAGAACGGAAACCAAAGAGTGACTCGTTTGAGCTCAGTAAGAATGGCCGGTTGCATCAGGGCCATCTCCATATCCGTCGGGTGCAGTCGGGCTGCTTCGGCCATAGTCTGCAACGTGAGAATCTTCCAGGGAGCGTCGTCCTGTTCCAGAAGGAGCCAGATTAATGTGCGCAACTGCAGCGCCTGTATCTGGGTGGCCGGATCGATCAGGCCCAGTCCCCCACTTGCTTTCGGTTGGATGAGCTTGCGCGAGGAGACCCAATGGATAGCGTGTGGAGCAAACAGTTCGTTCGTCCAGATGAACTTGGAAAGCGCAAATCTGTACCCACGCTGAGGGACAAGCTCAGGGGTTGAGACCGGGGCTGCATACCAGAGCATCGCCGAGGCCGCTGTGTTCGAGAGGAGCACTCTGCTGAATATCCCAGCGTCCAGAGTTTTGCCGCAGAGGGCGAGTCACGTGGCCGCTTTTCGCATCAACTGCTCCATCTGGGAGCGATCAGTGAGGGCCCAAGGAAGCTCTATGCCCAGATAGGTTGCTGTTTCTGTTGTTGGCTGGACCCTCATTCCTTCGAACAGGGGGGTTGTAGTCAAGTCGGGCACCAGGGCCACCGGCTTGTGCCAATTCATGCGGGCCCCTACAAACTTTTCGAAGGTACTCACCTGCTTCCACAGCGCCCGGACGCTGACCAAAGTGGTTGCGGTGACTGCGCCAGTATCATCCGCGAACGTGGATGATTTGAGCTGTCTACCACCCGGGAGGTGCAGACCCTCCAGCTCCTCGTCTGCTCTGATCATTTCATGCAGATATTCGATGTATAGTGCATATAGTGTCGAGGACAAGGGGCAGCCCTGACGAACTGAGCACGTGACGACAATCGGCTCCGACAGATAGCCATTGATCAAGAGTCGAGATGCAACCGACCCCAGGAGGCACTTGACCATGGCGAGGAATCTCGGGCCGAATCCCCTTTGTCTCAGGCCTTCGACCAAGAATGACCACGAGACTCGATCATAAGCTTTCTCAAAGTCAAGCAGGACAAACGCCAGGGGCGGGTCATGATATGAGGCTTGCCATACTATCTGCCTAGCGAGCA